GGCGACGTCGCCGTTGACATCAGCGCCGTAGACGCTCTGCCCCGGCAGCTGGCGGCGGCGCAGCACCGCGCGACGCTTGTCCGGCGGCACGTCGCAGCGGTACATCGCCGACGGCAACACTCGGCGCAGCGATGCGTGACCTGCGGCTGCAGTTTCATCACCTTCAGCAGCATCCTCGCCAGCACCGTCCACCACGTCGCCGTCGCCATAGATATCGTCCATGAAGTAGCCGTTGGAGTCGGCCATGCCAGTGTTGGACTGCAGGAGACGCTCTCTGCGCTGCCGCACCGCGTCCGTGACGGCCTCGCCCCGCCTCCTCCGCTGCTCGTTGATGTTCGCCAGCACCTCACGTACCCGCGACGCATCCACGACGCCACCGGACCGGACCGCCTCGTCCTCGTCGCCCCCGAGGAGGTCGAGCAGCCGCTGCGGTATCTCATCCACGTCAATGCGCTGCTCGCTCAGGAGCTTCGCCAGCTGCTCCTCCGACACCGCATCACTGCTGCTGGTGCTGCAGCTGTCGTCGTCATCGTCGTCTTGGTCGCCACGGTGGTAGTTGTGGTTGCGGCGCCGCGGCACGAAGCTTTCGACCGGCCCGTCCTCCCCCTCCTCGAAGCGCTGCCCGTCCAGCGTCATGCCGCGCCCATGACGACGATGACGGTGGCGACGATGACGATGGCGGTGCGACTCCGACGACGAATACCGCCCGTCCCCGCTCTCCAGCACCTCCGCAAGTCGGGTGAGCATGACAGTGTCGATGGACATAAGAAAGCGGGCGCCCAGCTCGCTGTTGCTACGCAGCTCCCTCGCAACCTGCGCCTCCAGTTCCGCCGTCTGGTACCGCACAACGGGGCGCAGCGCCGAGTGGCATGTGCTGACGTCCCGCAGCAGGCGCACGAGGGCCTGGTGGTGTGCCAGGTACAACGCGTTTAGGACCTCCGTGGGCACAGCAGCCCTGTCGCTGCTCCTGCTGGCGGCGAGTTCGTCCTCAATCACGTGCAGCTGCGCGTTGCTGATGGGGCGGAGCTCCTTCAACACAGCGCGGCAGAGCAGCACAGTCGGGGTCACACGCGTCTCACTCGCACAGGCCGCAATACTCACCGCTGCCTCCTCCCCCGCCTTGTCTTGCTGCTGCTGCTGTTGTTGTTGGTTTTGCCGCTCTTGGCCCATGGCGCCCTGCGAGAGGGCGGGGATGTCCGCGAGCAGCGGGTCACGTGGCAGCGTCGGCGCCCCACCCGTGTCGCCCGTCAGGACCTGGTTGGCGCTGCCGTGCTGCAACCGCAGCAGCTCCTGCCCAATCTCATGCACACGCGCCACCGCCTGCGCGTACGCCTCGCCGCTGCCGCCACTGTCGATGATGGCCTCCGCAGCAGCAACAGCGCCCCTGTGCTCCTCACGCAGCTGGTCGGCGCCGCCGCCACTACCCCGCGGGCCCACCTCCACCCTGCAGTATCCTGCGCCCGTCTCGTTTGTCCCCTGCGGGCGTGAAGCGTGCACCCGCACTGCCGCTGCCGCCGCCTGCGACGCGTCAACGCTGCGTCGCAGATCCTGCAGCAACTCCTCCTTCTCACCCATCAGACATTTCTCACGCGCGCGCGCCTTCGCCTCCACAAGGGCGACCTGCCTTAGCATCTTCGTCTCCATCTCCGTTTCGAAGCGCCTGAGCCGCGTTCGCATCTCCAGCTGCTGCGACTCTCGCATCGAACGCCCTTCCTCCTTGCTGCTGTGGCCAGCAGCATCACTCATACTGGACGGCGACTGCGGCGCGGTCCAGTCGTCCCGCACCGACAGAGTGCTGTTCTTCGACGATGCCTGCTTCTTCTGTACGCTCTTAGCGTTGCTGCTATTGATGCTGCTCTCAGCCGCAGTGGTGACGGTGGTATTGGCGCTGCCTGTTTTGTTGCTCCTTCCATGGCTGCCGCCGGGTCTTCGCGCGGCCGCACGTTTCTTGCCGCTACCTGCGCTCAGCCGCTCCTCGAGCTGTGCGATGCGCCCCTTCTGCATCTCGATGAGTTTTGCCGCGTCGCTGAGTCGCTCCTCCACACGCGCCGCCCGCATCACCATCCACTCATGCTCCGTTGCGTGGTCGCTCGACGCCGCATCACCTACCGGCTCCTTCTCCTGCTGCTGGAGCAAGTTCATCTCGTCCTGCAGCGCAGTGATCATGTTGTCAGCGGCGCGTGAGCTTTGGAGGAGCCTCCTGCCACCGCGCAGAACGATTGGTGACGCCGTGTCGTGCTGCTGCATCAGCTGGGCCTCGAGCGCCTCAGCGTAGCGCATGCCCGCGCCCGGCTCGGGCCACACACTCCGCTCGTCGTCCGGCGACTTTGCCTTGCCAGCACCAGCGGAATCAGCAGCAGGAGGAACGGGGACAGGAGAGGTGAAAGCACGCATCGAGGTGTGCCGCCCCTTCTGCGTCGGGCGGCGCCGCGTGGTCTCAAACGCGGCGTACTTCTCCGTCGCGTCGACCAGCCGCTGCTTCAGCATGTATATCTGCTGCTCCTTGCTGAGCGTCGCAAAAGTGTCGGTGCTCAGCTCGCTTGTGTCGCCAGCGGACTGCAGCGAGGAGCGCGCGACATCGGCGGAGCGCGCGCTCAGGGCTCCGCGCAGCTGCGCCACCTCCTCCCTGTGGAA